TGGACCATGGTGTTTGTCAGAAGATTGGTTGGGGCAGGTGGGGGGAGCTGATAGATGGCCATGGCAGTGGGGGTATGGACAGACAGGTGAGACTTTTTTAAGATGTAGGCTTTACAGCACCTGAGGACCATTTCATTGTTGGAAGTGGAGGGAGGGAAGGGGACCCAGCACAGTCCCAAGTTTCTGACTAGACGGTCAAGAGAACTGAGGAGGAGGAGTGGGTTTGGGGGGGACAAAATGGTCATTAGAGCTTGGAATTTGTGAGCATCCGAGGACATTTAGGGTCTGGTGTCTGGGAGACCATTGGAAATATGGTCTAGACCTGTTGAGAGATCTGGGCTGGAGGTCTCAGGTGCACAGGCGCCAGGGCAGTTGCCAAAGCTGTGGGAATGGAGGACACTCTAGAGAAAGCCTGTCAGAGGAGGGGCTGGGAAGGACACTGGAGACAGAGGGGATGCTGGGGAGCCTGGGAAGGGCCTGGAGGGACAAGGAAGGGGGAGGACAGGGAGCATAGTATCACTGCTCTGGCCTGGTGGACCCAGAAGGTGGAGATTCCCTTCCGGACCAGAGAGCTGCTAGGAAGGAAACTTGTGGTGTTCCCTATTCCATGGGAAGTCTTCAAGCCCTTTTTGTGGCTGACAGCCGCAGACGTCTTCCAATAGGCAGGCAACGAGAGAAGATGCCCTCTCCTCTGCTGAGCATGTGGGGTGGGGGATTCGGCATATTCCTGAGGACATGTCACTTCCTAAGGGTTATGCTCCTGAAGCGTTTGCCTCATTGTCAAGCCTCCCTTGCCTTGGAAATTGGGGGACACATGGTTTCCCTCCATGGGAGAATATTTGCAGACAAAGCATGGGAGACAGGCATCTCTGCTCCACTGGCCCCACAGCAGGCCTGTCCCTGTCAGGCTTGGCAGGTGGACTGAGTCTGGAGGCTCCTGCTCCTCAGGAAGGAGTCACACCAGGGAGGTCACATGAGAGCTAGTCACATTGTTTGCACGGACTGCTGTTTGTCTAAACGCTGCAAAGTGAGCTCTTCCTCCCAGTTGAAGCGTTGCTTTGTGGGTCAAAGAATGTGAGGAAGGAGGGAGGGACGGAATGGGTGTAACTGACATGGAACTGGGTAAACTTTGTCATGTTTACTTACCAGGCTGGGTTTCAGCCATGGGGCCTCAATGACTGGTAGCATTGCTTGGCAGAGGCACCAGGCCTGGTAGGTGTGGGCGGCCTGGGGAGTCAAGGGCCACCAAGGCCATCTGTGTTTCCTCCACAAGAGACGCAGACTTTGGGTTCCATATGTCCTAATACTGCCTTCCATTTAATACTGCTTTTGTCTGAAACAAGCCAGTGAAACAAATCAGCTTGTGCACTCTCAAGTAGATAGTTGCAGATGAGACTTCCATATTCTTTTCTTTTTAAAGATCTTTATTTATTTGAGAGAGAGACAGGGAGAGCATGAGCAGGGGGAAGGGCAGAGGGAGAAGGAGAAGCAGACTCCCCACTGAGTGTGGAGCCTGCCATGGGGCTCGATTCCAGGACCTTGAGATCATGACCTGAGCCAAAGGCAGACGCTTAACCGCTTAACTGACTGGGCCACCCAGGCGCCCCTCAAGATTATTTTCAAAGGCAGACTCATTTAATGAACAAGTAGTTCAAAGTAGGACTTGCAGGCCCTGGCTCCATCGAGTGCTGGCTTTGGTGACTTTGTGTGGTGTTTGGTGAGTTACTGACCTCCCTGGGCTTACGTTTTGGGGTCGGTAAAACAAAAGGCTTGGATTGGCTCAGTGACTTTAACATTACTTCTCAGAACTCCTGGCTTCCCTGGGAAGACCCCAGGGATGTCAGCTGCAGTCCCCAGCTCAGAGCCTCCTCAGAACCCCTCCATTTTTACCTGTCTCATATAGGAGGCTGCCCCCATTTCATTTGAAGTAAGCCTTCTGGGGCTTTAAAAAAAAACTTTGACAAACAACTTGAAGTAGATGATCTCCCAGGACCCTTCCAGTTCTAAAATTCTCTAGTGGCTGGGGTGCCTGGGTGTCTCAGTCGGTTGAGTGTCTGACTCTTGATCTCAGCTCAGGTCTTGATCTCAGGGTTGTGAGTTCGAGCCCTGCACTGGGCTCCACACTTGACTTGGAGCCTACTTAAAAAAATAATAAAATGAAATGAAATAAAATTCTATTTGTTGGGATAGATACGTTGGGATATTCCATTAATGATTTCACTTATGAGGTTAGCAATGTTTTTGATAGCTGACCTGAGGTAGGAAATGGTAGCCCATGGCAACAAGTATGTGTGGAGGGAGGGTGGGTGTGCCTATGTGTTTATGAGGCTTCTGTCCACCTGTTTGCATGGACATGTGTATCTAAGTGTGTATCATTGCCCTCCAGGTCATTCTTCCATTTTCTCTGACTCTGTGTCTAAAGTCTTACCCATCCTGTGGCTCATTTCAGCAAGCTCTTACGCTCCCAGCTAGCTGTCAAGAATTAAGGCAACCCAAATAAATTAGGGACTCATGACTGATACCCAGCCAGTGAGATGTATATATTTCTTTGCTTAAACAAGTCCATTTATATTAACTAATAGATAAACAGATGTGCTCCTTAATCAACTTTGTCCCAGTCTAGTACTGGCACTCTGAAATTTGTTTTATACTTTTCTTTATTTCCTCCAACATCATATGAAAATTTTAAGCATACAGTAAAGTTGAAAGGACTTTATAGTGCACATCTGTCCTACCACCTAGATGCTACCATGAACATTTTGCCATATTTGTTATATGTCTATCCATCTTTGTATCCTTCTATCCAGCCCTCAGACCATCTTATTTTTTGAAGCATTTTAGAGTAAACTGCATACATCATACATGTCCTCCTAAATATATTAGTATGCCTATTGTTAAGAGTTTCATATTTGTTTAGCTCTTTGTGTAAAATTTTCAAACAATGAAACACCAGTCTTAGGTCTGTGTTCTGTGAGGTTTGAAAAGTGCTTACCACCTGGGTAACCCAAACCCCATCAGGGTATAGAATGTTGCCATTACCCCTGAACATTCCCGTGAGAGCCTGCCCACTCACTCCCCAGCCCCACCTACCCGCAGAGGCAACTATTGTTCTGATTCTACCCACCCCCCCCCCCCATAGTTTTACCTGTCTTAGCACTTTAAAGGGATTTGTACAGAAGGTACTCATTTGTGGAATGCTTCTTTGGCTCAGCCTCATGTTTTGGAGATTCGTTCACATTCTTGCTTGTATCAGTAGTTGATTCTTTTTATTGGTAGGTAGTATTCCATTATATGAATATACCACAGTTTTATCTTTTAATTCATTCTCATATTAATGGACATCTAGTCTGTTCCCAGTTTTTGGCCATTATGAATAAAGTTACTATGAAGATTCATGTACAAGTCTTTTTGTGGACGTATACTTTGACATTTGCCTTTAAAGATTATTCTGATTATAAAAGTAATATATGCAACTGTAGAAAATATATAGCACTATAATAAGGAAAATTAAAATTCTATTGCTAGGAATCTTTTTGTAACTGAAGACTCCTGAAGGTACAATCTTTCAGCACAAAGGAGTATTTCCTCAGGGTCAGAAGGCACTGGTAGACCAGGGGCCCGAGGAGCAAAGAGGTGCGAATACGCACATGCGCACATGCACATATGCATGCGGCTCCCAGTTAGAGGCTGGCTGGGTTAGCAGGAGGTCCATGATGACTGAGAACAAATGCCTTTCCTTCTTGGCGAGCCAGCACATACACATAATAGGTGCTTAGCCAGTGTCTGTCGAATGACCTGACCGAATGGATGAATGGATGAACAAACCAGTGGACAGCCCTGCAGGACAGTGTGAGACGTGGGGTCTGGGAGGAGGTGCAAGAGTAGTCCGTGCGGGCTGCCGACAGGAGGAGGGGAATTAATCATGGGCCCCATGACAGACATGGCAGCCACCCTGTCTCTCTCTTGAGCAGCGTTCAGGTGCCACTGGTGAGTTCTGGGGAGTGAGATCACCCCCTCCCCGTGTGCGAGCGTATTAGACACGCGGGTCAGTCGGCTAGGGCTGCCTTACCAGTAGTCCCTGGCCTGGGTGCTTCAACCACAGATGCTTATGTTCTCACAGTTAGGGAGGCTGAGAAGTCCAAGCACGCAGACAGCTGCTTTCTCACTGTGTATTCACATGGCCTTTTTTGATGCATGCAGGTGGGAGAGAGAGTGTGTCTGTGAGCTCTCTGGAGTCTCTTCATACGGGGACACTAATGCCATCAGATCAGGGCCCTATGCCCTCATTTAACCTTCACTACCGCTTAAAGACCCTATCTCCAAATTCAGTCACATCGGAGATTAGGGTTTCAACACAGGAATTTGGTAGAGACACAATTCAGTACATAGCAATGTGGTTCTGCCTAAAGACTTGCAAACCAGTGCTGAGGCAGGTGTTGCAATTGCCTGTTGGGAATTGAGCTCAGCGGCCATATCTGGCCTTCCACATCTCCCACAGTGGGAATCCTTGGCTACTGACCAGTGTGGTAAGACTGAAATAACACTGCTCTAGCAATACTTCCATAGCATCTGGCAGAGTGCTTTCAACTACACAGTCTAATTTCACCTCCCAGCAAACCTGTGAGGTAGATATTGTACCTATTTTGTGGATGAGAAAAACGAGGCACAAGAAGTTAAGTGTCTGGCCCAGAGCCCCACAGCCCATCAGTGGTGAACCAAATCCCTCTGCTCCAACTCTCGTAGACAGCACTCAGATCTTCCCATGAGGGGACTCATGATTTCCTTTTGGGAATTCCATTGCCCATAAAATGAAGCAGCTAGATGTGGTGCATCACAGATACACTGAAGATTACCTCATAAGCAAAAATTAGGTAAAAGTATTCCTGATGAAGGAACTGACTGAGCAGACAGAAAGAAATCTACCTGAGTTTAATTATCTCATGATCTGTGTTTTTGTTTTCAAAGTGCTGAAATTAAGGCTGTTTTATTCTGTTGGTCAGTACAACAGGGTATGGATTCCTGATCCTGAAGAAGTTTGGAAGTCTGCTGAAATAGCAAAGGACTACAGAGTTGGTGACAGAGTCCTGCGACTCTTGCTGGAGGATGGAATGGTGAGGGTCCTTGCTGGCCGTGGCTGCCACAACATATAAAGGGATAACTGCACCATGTGTGGAGCGTGGCATATGGTCCCGTGGGAGTGGCCAGGTGGTGCTGCAGATCCATTCCTGTTTGTGCTGCACGCCTGACACCTAATGAAAGCATCAAGTGCCCTGCATCACCAGGGCCTCTCTCTCAAACATGACACAGGAAACAGGGCTGTGTCCTATGCTCCATCCCCAGGGATCCAGCATGGTGGGGAAAATGCTGAAGTGATCCGCCATTTTGGTTTCATTGGTCTCAGCATAGAGACTGGGCAAAGATGAGAAACTTGGAGGGAGGTAGTTTGAGCCCAAGGCATAAACTGGTTGAGAGAAACCTCAAGATGGGAAGAGGAAGAGAAATAGAGGAGGGAAATAGAAAATTGGAAGGGAGAGGAAGGGGTGGGAGGAGTACATATGGAGGGAAAGTCCGTCCATGGGTGGTAGAAACAGGCAAGCTTTGGGACCTCAGGGTGTGTGTGGCAGGGTTGGGGAAGTGATGGGTGGTGGGCAGGAACAGAATGCCCAGCTTTGTGTGACATTGTGAGAAGCCTGTCCATGCTGGTGTGGCTGGATCACATCAGTGGTGGTTCCTGTGCTCAAGAGTGCCCGTGAGCAGGTCCTCCCAAAGGCCAGATATGTCTTTTGATTATCAGCTCCAGCAGATTTTACCATTACTTTAAGTATCTGTCATTGAGTTGTCTTTTGCCCTCATAGCCGTAATGACATCCCACTGAATCCATAGCAAGGGTGACCTTTTTAGCGTTAAGTGTCTGGATGCAGAGCTGGACAAAGGATTTGTGTTCATCTGGATCTTAGAGTTGGTGCAGGGAATATCATATGAATATTAAAATGCTGGAATTTTTGAGTCATGCGCATGGTCTCTGTAGAGACAGGACACAATATTTACACCCAGACTGTCCTGGATTTGTGAGTCGTTTCCTGAGATCCTGGGAAGGGAGATGAGCATATGAGCATAGCGGTTAAGGGCACTCCCTCAAGAGTCATACCATGGATTCAAAGCCTGCCGTGGCCACTTGCTAAGTCTATAACCGTGAGCCCCTGAGTTTATTCATATGCAAATTGGAGTTCATAACAGCATGGCAGTGACAGGGTTGCTGAAGATCAAATGAGATGATCCGTGTGTTTGTACGCACTCGCACGTGCAGACTCAAGAGAGACCCGGAGGGAGGATGCTATGCTTGTATGGAGCCTGCCCTTTCGCACCAGTGGCTCCTTACAGCCTTGTTGAGCACATCCCGCACAGGGTCCAGGTTCTTGTTAGGGAGCGCGTGGCTCCAGGAAGAAAAATCTCACAGCTGTAGCAGCCGTGGCCACTTGCTGCCTTAGTCATATCGGCAGGGCTTCAGGTAGCGACATTCCTGGCTCTGAACCCAAGCCCAGGAGAGGTGGGTAAGAGGGCAGACAGCCAGACTGCTCCTTAGTTTAACCCTTCTTCTCTTCCATGAAGGACAAAGCCTGTTTTGTGCCTCCAGCTGTTCATCTAATATTCTTTACATTTTCTGCCCTTCCCCCAAGGACTCTCCTGTTTTTCTCTCTCTGCATCTCTCATACACACACATACACACACACAGAGGCAGTGGCTGAACTGGAAAAGGAGGTTTTTGATTTATTTATTTTTAATTTTTTAAAAAGATTGTATTATTTGAGAGAGAATGAGAGGGGAGAGGGTCAGAGGGAGAAGCAGACTCCCTGCTGAGCAGGGAGCCTGATGTGGGACTCGATCCTGGGACTCCAGGATCATGACCCAAGCCGAAGGCAGTTGCTTAACCAACTGAGCCACCCAGGTGCCCCAAAAGGAGGTTATTGATTTAAAATAGATAACAGAAAGACTCAAGGAAAGAAAAACCATAAGTGAGCAACATTTTTCTTGAAAATGTGTAGATTAAAAATAGTCTGCTTAACTTGACCCCTATCTTAAACCAGTCACAAAAATTAACTCAACATGAATTAAAGTTTTAAATATAAAACCTGAAACCACAACATTCCTAGAAGAGAACATAGGAATAAAGCTCCTTGACATGAGTCTTGGTGATGTTTTTGGATTTGACACCTAAAACACAAGTGACAAAATAAAAAATAAGCAGGTATGACTACATCAAACTAAAAAGCTTCTGCCCAGCAAAAGAAAAACAAAAACAAACTATCTACAAACTGAAAAGACAACCCACAGGAGGGGAAAAAGTATTTGCAAACCATACATCTGATAAGGGGTATTATCCAAAATATACTTATATGTGGAATTTAAGAAACAAAACAGATGAACATAGGGGAAGGGAAGGAAAATTAAATAAGATGAAAATTGAGAGGGAGACAAATCATAAGAGAATCTTAACTATAAGAAACAAACTGAGGGTTGCTGGAGGGGAGGTGGGTGGGGGATGGGGTAACTGGGTGATGGGCATTAAGGAGGGCACGTGATGTAGTGAGCACTGGGTGTTATATGCAACTGATGAATCACTAAATTGTACCTCTGAAACTAATATAAAATTTTTTTTGAAGTTTTAAAAAATATCAATAAAAATCAACTGCTGAAAAAAAGAATTCTTAAAACTCAATATCAGAAAGAAAAAAAAATAAAAAATGGGCAAAAGACCTAAACAGACATTTTTCTGAAGAAGACTACAGATGGCAACAGACACATGAAAAGGTGCTCAACATGACTAGTCTTTGGGGAAATGCAAATCAAAGACACCATCTATATCACCTCATGCCTACTAGAATGGCCATCATCAAAAAGACAAAAAGTAACAAATGCTTTGGTGGATATGAAGAAAAGGGAGGGAACCCTGTGCCCTGTTGGTGGGGTTATAAATTGCTCAGCCACTATGGAAAACAGAATGGAGAACCCTCAAAAATTTTAAAATAGAACTACCATATGATCCAGCAGTTCCTCCTCTAGAAATATATCCAAAGGAAACAAAAACACTAACTCGAAAAGGTATCTGCACCCCCATGTTGATAGCAGCATTATTCACAGTAATCAAGATGTGGAAACCACTTAAGTGTCTGTCAACAGATGAACGGATAAAGAAGTTGTGTATGTGCATCCGTACAGTGGAATATTAGTCATAAGAAACAAATCCTAACATTTGTGACAACACAGATGGAACTGGAAGGCATTATTCTAAGTGAAATAAGTCAGAGAAAGACAAACACTATATGATCTTATATGTGGAATCTAAAAATAAATAAATAAATAAATAAACAAAACTCGTAGAAGAAAAGATCAGACTTCTGGTTACCAGACTCAGGGGCCGGGGAGGGGGGAATGGAGGAAGGTGATCAAAAGGTACAAACCTCCAGTTAATAAGTCGTAAGCGTGTCATGCATGGCATGATGACTGGGGCTACATTGCTAGGAAAATTCAATTAAATCCTGAGAATTCTCATCACAAGGAGAAAATTTTTTTCTTTTTTCTTTTCTCCCCTTTTTTTATTACACTGATCTGAAATGATGGATCTTAGCCGAACCTACTGTGCTAATCATTTCACAGTACATGTAAATCACACCATCGTGTTGTACCCCTTAAAATTACACAGTGATCTATGTCAATTATTTCTCAGTAAAACAGGGAAAAATAATAACTCTGCTTAGGGCCGACCCACGAATATATTTGCATTGAAAACAGAGCAGACAGCTATGATTCAATCCAGTTGGCCTGGATTGCCCTGAGCCGTTCTCCTTAAGCCACACAGACCAACCAAGTCACCGACAAACAAAACCCTGTTGGTGGTGACAGGAGGCATCATGACACAGGCTTCAGAGCCAGCCAGATCCGTACAAACTGTGTGAGCTTGGACAAGGACCTCAACCTCTCTGAAGCTGTCTCCTTAGCTGTTAATTAGGGTAGTCATGCCCTCCTTGGAAGGTAGTTTTAAGGGGCACCAAATACTTGGCAGAGGGTCTGCACATTGGGCACTTGCGAGGGGGCAGCCGGGTCACCATGTAGAACTACTTCAGGACCAGGGATCAAAAGGAGGACAGCCTAGGAAAGTGATAGGGAAACAAGCTTGCTGGGTGTTCTGGCTTGAGTCGCTTACCCGGGCTGTGAAATGAAAGTGAAGAAAGTAAGAACAGGTGGTCATCAAGTCCCTTGATATTCTGACATTTGGAGCCTGGTCACCTGTGGCATGGACACCACAAGGCTTACTAACCTCTCCTTCATTCTCTTCAGGCAGCTACTGTCAGAATACTGGGTGAAATCCAGCAGAGGAGAGACCATCCCCAACAAGTTACTCAGCCCAGGGCCAAGGATGATGGGAACAGGCAGCCCTCAGCTAAAGACAGGAGTCAGGAGCACACAGGTCCTCTCAAAGAGAGACTGTCACTCACATGGGCTCCTTCAGACACTCCTTACCACCCAGCAGAACACTGTTTTCAAGCAAAACATTCATGGCGCTCAGCATCTAAAGTACATACAAGTGGGGGACAAGTGGACCCCCTGTGGTAGGGTTGGGGATGGCGTGCCCAGGTCCCTGCCCATGTGGCTTCCCTGTCACCTCTCATTGAGGCTTCACTGAGGTCCTGTAGCTCCACCCAGTCTTTTCACAGATGAGAGAAGGGCCCAGAAAGGGTGAATGACTTGCCCTAGGGCACAGAGCTAATACCCTGGCCCCCTGGCTCCCATTTCCCAAGAGTCAGTCATGGAAATTGTTTTCTCTTTGCTTTATGTAAGTTTGTTTTTAGAGTGTCAGGGATCACTCCAAAAGGAGGGCAGATAGGACAGAGGACGGGAGTTCAGAAACACCAAGAGTCTTTCACTTACAGAACTTTAATTTCATCTTTGTCCACAGGAGCTGGATTATTCCATTGATCCAGAATCTCTGCCTCCGCTTCGGAACCCTGACATCCTCGTGGGTGAGAATGACCTCACAGCCCTCAGCTATCTCCACGAGCCTGCGGTGCTCCACAATCTCAGAATCCGCTTTGCAGAATCCAAACTCATTTACACCTACAGTGGTAAGGAGAGTGATTCTAAGAGAGCAGGAATGACCCAGAAATACCATGCTTGCTGTCTAGGGTGTCCTGAGTACATTTTATATCATGTTTATGTTAGAAATGTTGACTTCTGCCAAAATGTGTACTCAGACCTAGACATTTGCCCAGATTTCTGTCTAACAAGCACAGACATTTGATCTTCAAGAGTCTGTTGTAAATAGAAGTGTCTGCAGGTGGGGAAAATCTTTTGCAAGAATTAAGATCAGACTCCCAAGAAAAATATATCTGGATAAAGCTTATGTTTGAGTTTCTCATTGGATTTGATACATTTATCACTTATTTTGGGCAACGATGTTATCATTATATTTACGTTGAGAACTGCAAAACCTTTCAGTTTTAGGGCATTCCCATCTGTCATCTCCTCCAACCCTGACAGTTGTCCAGAAATGTGGGTGGCATCCACAGGGAACTGAGATTCAGAGCATTAGGTGACCTGCCCAAAGTCACACGGCAGGTTTAATAACTGGCAGAGCTGGGCTTGCTCCAAAGAACCTGGAGAAACAGGTGACAGTAAGAACCCCAGCACTGCATTGGACATCTTTCCCCAGGAATCATTTTGGTGGCCATGAATCCGTACAAGCAGTTGCCGATCTATGGAGATGCCATCATCCATGCCTACAGCGGGCAGAACATGGGCGATATGGACCCGCATATATTTGCGGTGGCAGAAGAGGCATACAAGCAGATGGCCAGGTAGACTCCTGCTGGGCGGGGCTTCCTCTTTCTCTCCCAGCGCCCCGCCCCTGCGTGTGCTGGGCCCTCACAGTGGAGGGGAAACCTCTGGCATTGGTTTTATTAAAGGTGACCATGAGACCAGAGGGGACTTTCGGTGGATTGGACTACCTATAACGTAGTAACAAATGACTGCCTGTGTAGCCTGTCTAGACCAAGTTTCCTGGTTTTTCTTCCTTCTAGGTAGTCAAAAGTCAAACCTACCAATCTGGGAATGGCAGATGCTTCTCTTGCAGTGTGTTTGGTTGGAGGAATATTGATTTATTCTCCACTGTGAGCTGCTTAAGCTTTTTCCCCCATCCAGGCCAGCAAAATTTTATGATAGATGACCACAGGTTTTAGATGTAGAAGATCTGGAGTTTTATTTTGCCACTTGTGTTTTGTATGGCCCTGTGGAGTCCTTGTTTTGCCAGCAAACATTTATTAAAAGTCTCCTGTGGACCAGGCACTGTGCACATGTTCCCGTACATTGTCGTGGGTGTTCTCAGACTGGCCTGTGATGGAGATGCCTGAGCAGTAAGCTGAGATTTGGGGGTCACCCACCCAAGGCCACCCAGCAAACAGAGCTGGGATGTGGGCTCAGGGTTTTTGACTCCACGTGTAATTTATTTTTCCCATAAATATTCTTTCAGCTTCAATGTCCTCATCTGTAAAGTATAAAGAGTAGAAACACCATCTTATCTTTGTAGACCCTTTTATGGTTTGCAGAAGAACTTTCCAGACAGTGGTCTCCTTTAAGTCTTGCGACACCCTTGTGAAGTCCGTTGAGCTGCCATCATTGCCCTCATTTCATGAATGCAAACCCGAGGCACAGGGCCTGGGACCTGCTAACTATTTACCACATAATCCCGGGCACAGCATCTGAACTTCCTCAGCTTTAGTGTCTTCATCTGTGAGCCAGACACTCGGAGAGCACCCATTCATGTTTCACTCCTTATAATCAGGAAAAAAGAATGGTGGCATAAACAAGGTAGCTGTGTATGGTTCTCTCCTGCAAAAAAGACTGATGGGCTGATGGGCAGTCTGGGACTAGCAGGGCACCTCTATCAGTCGTCAGGGACCCAGTGCCTTCTAGATCCTCTGTCCCCAGAGTGAGGCTCTCCTCCTGGGGGCAGGCTAATACTTATCCATCTCCTCCATAATCTAGGCGACAGAGTGTCAGAGGGGAAGTGTGTGCCCCATAAAACACCTCTGCTCACAGCTCATTGGCCAGGACCTAATCCCATGGCCAGGCCTAGGCTGGGATATATAGTCTTTCATATGGGCAGCAGTGTGCCCATTAAAAATTGGGACATAGTTTCTAAGAAGGAAGAAAAGGATAAATGTTGGGTAGAGATTTACCAATTAATGACCAATTACTTTGGTCTCTGCTACAGCATGTTTCTTTCCAATTATAAAACAACCATCGTTCTGGGATTTGCCCTGGCTCCCTGTAGGTCTCGTGGGCATCTCTGTGATTGAAGTTCATGGCTCACAACCTGTTGGGCCAGGTCTGCTCCTGGGTGTCAGCAATATAAGCTCATTGGAGCCATAGGGCTGAGGCAGGTTCAAGCTCGAAGAGCCCGTTTTCTCTTGAGGTCTAATTCTAACAGTATTGAACATAAGGTAGCTTTATGTTGGGCTTGCTGATGCTAAACTGGGAGTCAGAAGAGCCTGGTTTTAAAACCCCCTTCCTGTTCTACCTGGCCAAGGGATACTGGGGTGTCTGTCACTCACCTCCTCACAGGCTTGCTTTTTTAGATAGGAGCTCTATCTCTGAGGTCCTCCCAGTGTTCACAGGGAGGCTACATGCTCTGTGTACTAGGTCAAGTCACTTTACCTTTTTGAGTCACTATTGTATTCTTCTGTAAAATGGGTATATGTGGCATAGGATTTTTTTCAAGGCTTAAATGAGAATCCTTATAAAGTATTCATGGAGTACCTAGTATATAAGCAATGCTGGATACCTAGAACAGCATTATAGTATGGTTGAATACATTTTTTTAAGATCTCTAAATTATGTAGAACATGTCGGTTTACTGAGCACATATGTTCCCAAGCATATTTTGAATAATTGCTCTCCAAATAATGTCTTTAAGATGTTTTATGTTTATGTGGGGATACACAGAGAGGAGTTGACCTGGTCCTGAGACAGCTATCTTCAGAGGCCTGCTTGCAGGGTTGGCCCAGGGCTAGCCTTTGGGAACTTGGATTTTAGGAAGTTTCCCACCGTGCTTAATTGATGAGAGTGACGTACTGTACCTAAATTGTTTGTGTAAATGATGGAGTTCTTGCTGAACACCTACTTTCCTTCTGAGCATCTGGAATCTTGGTATGTGCTCAGCAGAGGATGCCTACATGATCAGCCCCCGGTGAAAACCCTGGGTCCTGAATCTCTGAAGAGCTTCTCTGGCTGACAGCACTTCCCATGGGCTGTCATAACTCATTGCTGGAGGAATGAAGTGTTTATGCCTGCCTTCCTCTGGATTTGTCCCCCTGTGTCTTTCCCCTTTGCAGATTTACTTTGTATCCTTTTGCTATAATAAATCTTAGCCATGAGTATGGCTATGTGCTGAGTGTTGTGGGTCCTCCTAGCAGATCACTGACCTAAGAGTGGTCTGAGGGAACCTCAACATGGGGGACAGAGCAGGAAGCAGAGTTGTGTGTTCAGCTTGATCACATAGAAAAAAAGAGACTAGAAGGAAATTCACTGGAATGTTAAAAAACAGTTACCTTAGAGTAATGAAACAGTTTGCTTTCTTTCCGCTTGTCTGCATTTTTCTTACTGAGTATATATTGCCTTTTTAATAGGAAGAAATGAGCATTTTAAAAATACTCTTATTTGCTTCAGAAACAATAAAAATCAGTCAATAATTGTAAGTGGGGAGTCAGGTGCTGGAAAGACCGTGTCTGCCCGCTACGCCATGAGGTACTTCGCCACTGTCAGCAAGTCCAGCAGTAACACCCACGTGGAGGACAAAGTTCTGGCGTCGAACCCCATAACTGAGGTATGCAGCCTGCGGGGGTGGGGAGCAGGGTCACAGGCGACAGTGTGGAATGATGGAGAAGTGGGTTGGTGTGTGCATGTGTTGTCTTGGCTAACTTGAGTCCTTTCCCTTTAAAGACCGTGGAAGTGAGGGCAGGAAAGAGCCAGGAGGCCTGTTCTCTGGTGGGATTTGAAGGAGCTTGGGGTAGAGACTGCTGCCGCCAAGGCTCTCTCCTCAATCTGCTGGGCTAGAAATCGGATTTCAGGAGTCCCCTGTCTGCATTTCTATCCCAAAGGAAATGTCCTCAACCATAGACAGCACTGGTGTGCTGAGACCAGTGGTGTTCTCCAGCAAGTGCACCAACTTTCACGAGCTGATTGGTAAATATTCAGAATTTTTTTTGCAAGCCGACTGTTAAACCTTTGGCAGTTCGACATCAGTCATGGTGGGAGTATTTACACCTTAAAGATTGGCCAGTGCCACGTATCAAGACCCTTCCTCCTCCCCTCCCTGAGAGTTGATCCATCTGCACAACACTAACCAGGTCAGAGGTGTGGACAAGGCCAGCCGTGATGGCACTCAGGAGTAAGGAGCCAGCCCTCAAGGGAGAAGGGGCATCTGAGAGGCTCAGGGGATGCCCAAAGGCCAACTCTGGCTGCTTTGCAAAATGGGAAAAGGATTGACTTAGATTTATTTGGAAGCACAGCAAAAAATTAAGACCATTAGATTCCTAGACCTCCTCTCTCTGTTTTCTCAAATCAAAATCATCAATGAATATGTATCAGATCACCTATTTTGTTTAAGCCACTATGTCAGGTAATACAGGAAGTGATGGAAAAGAGTAAGTCCCAGTCCCCAAGTCTTAAGACTCCTCTAACATAAACATACTTTAAAGTTAAATGGAAACATAGATCACAATCTAAGATAGCAATAGAAAAGTTGTCCAGAGGCACTGCCCAGTGGATAAATTTATGTGATTATTTGTTTAGGGTTGGTCTCGCCCACTAGATGGTAAGCTCCAGAAAGACAGGGCCATGTCCACGCGGCTCACCTTTGCCACCCGAGCATGTGGCCTATAGCTGGGACTCAGTAAATATGTGTCGTCAGAAAGCATGATGACCCAGGCAGGAAGATTAGTTTGTGTGCATGAGAAGGGTACTTCCAGATGGAGAGTTCTCAGGAAGGGGGCGGGGGGATGGGTAGAGGAGAGACAGAATTCAAGAGTAGAAGTAAAAAAGCAAAAATCATGCCAGAGCATGGAAAGGATGGTAGAGGGCAGTTTTTTGGTTGAGTGGAAGGTCTGAGGAGGGAAGTGGTAAGAGATAAGGATTGAAATAAAGTTTGGATGAGAGATGTGTTCTTAAGCATCTATAATATTCAGGGCATGGATGTGTTGAGGCACTTTATATTACCTTAGGTCATCCTCCCAACTCTGCAAGATGCATATTATTCCCATATTATGATAAAGAAATGGAGCCTTGGAAAGATAAAATAACTTTTCTAGTATTGTACAGATAGCAGAAAAGGAACTTGGAGCCATGAAACATCAGAACCTGTGCTCTTTCTAATCCTGCCCAGTGTCTCCCAGCAAGACGGAGGAGAGCTTTGAATGGCAGGTTGAGGGTGTGTCATGCTCCCTGCGAGCTTTGGACTGCTTTCCTTCCCCCCCCCCACACCCCCCGCCAACCTCCCTCTGCTAGTCAGAACTTTCCCCAGCATACAGGATTGGATTTTATTAAAACTGCTCCACTAGTATTGTGCAAAGATCTTTTTAACATTATTGAGAGGCCTGTGTTGTAGGCTGTCGGAAATGCCAAGACCACCCGCAACGACAACAGTAGTCGGTTTGGGAAATACACAGAAATCAGTTTTGATGAGAGAAATCAAATTATAGGA